GGTATAAATTTAAGTACACAACATGGGAATAACGCAACCACGGAAACAGGCATGCACACATGCAGATCAGGGGGGTTCTAGGACTAGCTCACCATGCAAAATCGTGTCCCGGTTCTTGGCCTGAAACAGATGGACGAGGCCGTGCAGGTGCTCCTTGCACTCTGCATCTCTTGCCTCGACGCACCTCGGCCACGAGCGGGGCATGAAGAGCTTCGCCCTGTTCAAGCGCGTCAGGTCCCCCAAGCGCAGATCGAAGTTGTACACCAGCTCGCGGGCGAATGAGCGGCAACAAGTGTAACATCCTTGCATGTCCCCGCTGCTGGTGGTGTATCCCTTCTCTGCTTCCTCGTGCAGCTGAAACTTGTGTACCCGGGGCTGACCCTCCTTGTCCACCCCCTCCACAGTCACTTCACGGCACTCGGGCGAGGCGTGCCGCGCGAGGAATGCAGACAGCAGCTCGCTGGTCCCACCGCCAAACTGCTGGCCACAGTTCAAGTACCTCTGCTCGATGTAGATGATGGTCCGCCTCACCTGGGAGTGCACTGCAGTGAGGTCAACCTGTTGGTAGGGGGAGAAAGGGTACATGGAAACAGAATATAGGTAACTGGGAGAGGAAGAGAACAGCAAAACGTAGCTCAACAACTCACGTGACGCTTCTGGAATAGCAGGTTGAGCACGTTGAGTGTCGTGTGCACATCTGCCAAGAAGAACAGGTGTAATGAAACTTGAACGATGTCACCAGGAGGTACATCGTCGTGTCAGTCTCGTCGAGCATAACGATGACAGCAGGCAGAACGCGGACGAATCGTGCGATTGCGTCGCCGCGACTCAACCAGCGGACGGAATGGATCCCCTGGACCTCGAGGTTGGTATGAGTGAACACTTCCTGCAGCTCCTTGAACTTGAGATTGGAGTTGCTGGATCTGCCGAGATCTTCTGCCACTGAGCGAATGACCGCGTCGATTATGCCAAGCTCTGGTAGTGCCTTAGCCGCCTCCTTTGCAGCTAGCGCTTCCCTGCCACGGGGACAATAGCATAGACGAGGGGTTAGAACTCGCACAGCAACATACCACGTTCCACATATCAAATAGCAACGACACCAACACATCATCATTTTACCTGTGTGCGATGCAGTGAGAGGCCACCACGTGCGGTATCTCCAGTCGAAGACGCCCAGCGAGGCCAGTTTCGTTGCCTATCATGACAGAAGCCCCATCGGTGCTGATACCCGCCACCTTCTCCAGCGGCAGACTGATACTGTCAAGGTATCCTATGAGCTTAGCATGAAGGGATGCTGCATCACACTTCTCAATGGAGAGGTTAGTGAGAAACTCTGTGACGACGGCGTGCTCACGCAGAAATTTTACAAATACAATTATGTGCTTGCCTTTGACGCGGTCCGTACTCTCGTCGCAGCTCAGACCAATGAATGGACTCGAGTCAATGTACTCTCTCTGGCGCGCACGAAGGTATGTCGCTATTGCGGCGGTAATCTCTTCGAATCCGTACCTGCACGGTCATCAACGCATGTGGTTAGTGATCGCTTCACGTAGTTCACAATAGGCACCGATATGTACTAGACCAGTGTCACTTACGTTGTGTAGTAGGCACCATAACTACTCTTTGGGAAGCCCGGTGTGCCACGCTGCGCCAGATGTCAGACGAGGTCCACGTACATCTCGATCGGGGCGTCAGACTTAGCGATGAAGAGTGCCGTCTCAAAGCGCGCGATCAGGCGCTCCTTCTCCACGTCTTTCACCTTCGGGTTGTCGTCAATGCGGCGGTTAGCTTTGAGCGCCGCCTCGGCTGTCCTCTGTCTCGCAGAGCGCGGCGGTGCTTCCGTGTTCGCTGATGCTTCCGCATTGCCTGGGTCTGCACATCGGTCGCCCCTTCTCCTTTGGCGCCGAAGTTTGTGCCCACACCGCCGTGCGCAATGCAGACCGAGGACTTCATTGACGGGAACCCTGCACGCGTCTGACACAAAACAAGCCACGGGTAGTCGTCAGACCACTGCTTGTTATACATAGATAAGGCTTCTTGGTACTTCTCCTCGGCTATGTCGGGCAGTTCTGTATCGGAAGTAACCTCAACCACTTTCCCCTTCCCTTTACACTGTTGGGCCTGCGGGGAGGAGTTCCCCACACCAGACGTTGGCGTAGCTTGACTAGCACCCCACTGGATCTTTGTCTGGAGGTACCTCAATTTGATACCCCTTTTGAGACGGAGGCCGACGCGAGTAGTTCCGGCAGCGACAGGATGACGGTTCCGTGTGGGTTCGGGAGCGCCAGGAGTTGATCCGACAGCGTCAGGAGTTTATGCGGCAGCGGCAGGAGCTAATGCTGCAGCGACAGGAGTTGACGCGGCAGCGACAGGAGGTGATGCGGCAGCGCCGACATGCGTCGAACACTGGCCCTGCGTCCAGATGGTACCGTAGGTGCCTCGGGGCCCGAGGAAGGGAAAACAACGGTACGAGCTGATGGCGGGACTAACGCGGGAGCAGCTGAAGCTCGTCGTAAGAAGTCTAGGCCAGTAAGGGCGGGTGGCTTCGTGGCTGCGACAGATTCAGGGCCGTCACCTGCGGGCGTTGAATCCACCATGGCTGCTCAGCTCTGCTGAGCGTGCCGAGCTTGAGGGAGAAGCTACTCCTGCTTGAGCTCGAACGTCACTTCGTGCAGGGGTTCACGAGTAGTGCAGGAACAGAATGAGGGAGCAGATGGGGGTACCCCCTCTCCCGAGCCGCCATGGCGAGGGATCTTGGTCCAGGGTTTCGGTCTTTCCAGGCAAGATGACAACACCCCCACCCCACCCCACTGCCATAATTTATGGCGTGTTGGCGTGGACCCTGCCACCAGTGGTGTGTTGTCTGTGTTCTCATTGGGCAGTTGTGTACTAGGCTAACCGTTCTCTGGTGTGATGGCTTCCAGCGAGGCAAAACGGTTCGGAGCGCACAAGCTGTAAGTACAGCGCATGTGAAAAGATTTCAAGTGTGTGGGTGGGGTGGGGTTTCGTGAATCACGGGAAGGTACAGTCTGTACACGCGTCACGTACTCCCCCCCCCCCCCCCCCACGCGGTCAAGTCCGTTTCAGTGTGACTCACTGAAGTATATTGATTTGTCAGTGTGACTTGTTCAGAAACACGTAAAATGGTCAGTGTGGCAGAATCACAAATACTGAAATTACAGTGCAATATAGAAGCATATACTGATTTGTCAGGGAAAACGAAAATCAGAGCTACAAAATCAGCGTAATCAGCGTGTTTTACGCTGATATCTGAGGGCCTGTCTCTGCTCATTCTCGCTCCCTATTCTGACACCACTGCCATCCATCTGTGAGCCCACTGCCATCCATCTGTGAGCCCACTGCGGCGGCCCTTGGCACATTTGCAACGCTGCGTTCATCAGCCCGGGTAGATTCTGGCAACCTTTCGCACGAAGCTCGTACGAGGCTCCATTTTTAAAATGTGTTGTGAGCCTGAGGTGCACTCTTATTTGGCTCTATCCAGGGTGCATTGCATTGCTCCACACGGCATTGCACCGCCACGACACTCAAAGCAAGATCCCTAGAATGGAAGGTCATGGGAGACTCTCACAATGTGATATCACATGGTATTTTTCTAGCACAGTATACGTAATGAACACAAACCAGTATTTGAACTTACAGAATGCACCTATGACGGTTTAATGACATACACTATTGATTCCCCAATAACAATAGTGGAGATGATGTCACCGCGCAGCGTAACACCATTCACGCTGATCCTCGAGTAGAAGTCATAGGGGGCGAAGAAGAGCGGCACCAGCGCCTTCACCCTGCTCACTGGCCTGAACGGCACGGTGAGGTTGGCGGCAGTATTCGACGTGCAGCGGTAGGTGCCCAGCGTGCCGGTGGGCTTGGGTGTGCATCAGGGCTCTTGCTAGGATTTAAGCCCGTCTGAAAAGTATATACCAAAAAAAGGTTTCGTCTGACGTTCAGACGGGGAATTTTTTCTGGTCTGGTTTTTAAGACGAAGGAAAAAGCCATGTCTGAAATTTCAGATGAAATAATAGTGGTCTGTTTTTGTTTTTTCAAATTTGAATTGTGTACTGTTTTACTTGTATCAGACAGAGCGACACAACCTAAACAGGTTTGGGCTGCGACGCGCGAGAGCGGGAATGGGGCAGTGGGGCAGGTGTTGGCCTGCGAGAGACAGGGGAGTGGGGGGCTTGGGCTACGTACGAGACGGACAGGGGGGGAAGGGGCACGAGTGCTGATTTAGGAGATTGTGGCGGGGCGGGAGGGAATTCGAGGTAGTGGGGAGGAGCGAGGGAATTCGGGTCTTGGGAGGCTGAAGCGCGTGGGGGGTAGGGGGAAGAGGGAAGCACTCGGTACTTTGGTGTCAGACGAAAACGTACGCATTATCTGATTTCTCAGATGAAGTATAACGCCGAGTATGATTTTCCAGACGAAATAAAATTTCTGGTCTTATGGATCAGACGAACTAAAATTGCTTGTCTTCAAAATCAGATGAAATAGAAAAAGTAGGTCTGATTTTCAGACCATCAGACCAATTTGGTCTGATAACAAGGACCCTGGTGTGCATGTAAACTCTGCTACGAGCTGCCCCGTGTTGTTGTTACGGTAGGAGGACTTGGAGAAGACTGGCCGCGGGCTGCTCGGCACGCCCATCACGGTGAACGTGTAGAGCGCCGTTTGCTGGGTTGACGTGCTGTGAGAGAGAAAGAGAGAGAGAGAGAGAGAGAGAGAGAGAGAGAGAGAGAGAGAGAGAGAGAGAGAGAGAGAGAGAGAGAGAGAGAGAGAGAGAGAGAGAGAGAGGGAGGGAGGGAAGGAGGGAGGGAGGGAGAAAGGGACGGAGAGAGAGGGGGAGAGGGAGGGGGAGGGGGAGGAGGAGAGGGAGAGGGAGAGGGCGAGGGGGAGTGAGAGGGAGTACAATGAGGGAGGAACTGGAATCAACATGTGCGCAGAGGGTGTGACCATGCTGTGATAGATTGACGTGCACTCACATGTTAACATCCACGTTGAACTTGGCGGTCATGTTGGTCTTTGATGTGAGCACTGAGGCAGTTCGGACTGCAGCGGGCAGACGAGGCGAGGACACACGCAACAGGCCGAAGAGGACACAGTTGAGCGATTTAGAAAGGCAGAAGGAACATTGGAAGCAGAGAGGCAATGGTCTGCAGTAGGAGACACACCGTGATTTGGATTGATGCGTGTGCATGTGCATGACTCACGTCGCATGGGAACATTAATGCCATAATTGTCTAAGATGCTGTCTGACTCGCTGGTACTCCCACTGCTGCTGCCAGTGCCGCTCCTACTGCTGCTCCCAGAGGTGCTGCCCCCAGTGCCGCCGGCGCTTCCGGTGCTCCCCCCGCTGATGGAGCTCCCGGTGCTCCCCCCGCTGATGGAGCTCCCGGTGCTCCCCCCGCTGATGGAGCTCCCGGTGCTCCCCCCGCTGATGGAGCTCCCGGTGCTCCCCCCGCTGATGGAGCTCCCGGTGCTCCCCCCGCTGCTGCTGCTGCTGCTGCTGCTCTCAGAGGCGGTGCTTACATCTCCGATAACAAGAGTCTCGTTAGGGTCCGTGCTACCGCCACTCATGCTGCCGCTGTTGCCTGTGGTGGTGCTGACCGTTTGGGTCATGAGGCCGTCGCTCACATCCAGCAGCTCTCGCCGCACGGCGCCGCCCGCTGCGCAGCAGAGGGAGAGCGAAAGCAGTGCTGCCAAGGGGAGGGGTGTGAAAACAGTGTAGCGAAGGGAGAAACAGTGTAGCGAAGGGGGAAACAGTGCAGCGAAGCGGGAAACAGTGCAGCGAAGGGGGAAACAGTGCAGCGAAGGGGAAAACAGTGCAGCGAAGGGGGAAACAGTGTAGCGAAGGGGGAAACAGTGCAGCGAAGGGGAAAACAGTGCAGCGAAGGGGGAAACAGTGTAGCGAAGGGGGAAACAGTGTAGCGAAGGGAGAAACAGTGTAGCGAAGGGGGAAACAGTGCAGCGAAGGGGGAAACAGTGCAGCGAAGGGGGAAACAGTGCAGCGAAGGGGGAAACAGTGCAGCGAAGGGGGAAACAGTGCAGGGAAGGGGGAAACAGCGCAGCGAATGGGGAAAATGTGTAGCGAAGGGGGAAACAGGTACCCGCGGTCAAGAAGTGCGGCTTGGAAGAAGCAACGGAGGAGAGAAGTGCGGAGGGAACCACTTGTTGGGGCTATCGATGATGCACTCGCGCCGGCGCGTGATACCTCGTCATGAGTCGGACTCGTGGGCGAACGACATGACAAGGCGACGGAGCGACAAGACAGGGCGACGGAGCGACACGACAGGGCGACGGAGCGACACGACAGGGCGACGGAGCGACACGACAAGGCGACGGAGCGACACGCGACGAGTGCGACATCGCAAACGACGAGATGACATGTAGGGCGACGAGCGACACGACCGGGCGACGAGGCGACATGGTAGGGCGACGTTGGCGACACGACAAGGCGATGAGCGACACGCAACGAGTGCGACATCGCAAAACGACGAGATAGCAGGGAGATGAGCGACACGACCGGGCGACGAGGGACATTGGCAGGGGCGTCGTGTGACATGTCAGGGCGATACGAGGCGACGCGGTGGGCTCACCAGCAATGACGACGGCGAGGCGCTTAACGTCGAGCGAAGGCGCGCGAGAGAGTGACGTCATCCGAGCCATGGCTGGATGGAACCGCGGCTTGGAAACTCGGGGTTGCAAATCGAGTTTGAGGCGATCCCTGGAACGTGAAATCGAGTGGATGAGAATGAGTGTCTCTATAGCAAGGCTGAGTCTGGCTGCGAATAGAATGAAGACAGCAGACGCGTTTGAGGGCAAAGGTGCATCGTGCTGCGCCATACGAGTTCCTCCCCTCGCTTTCGCTGCGGCATTCGCGATTTCAGGAGCTCCTGACGGTTGCGCTGCATTTCTCGCAGCAGGATACTGATACAGTACAAAATCTCATTGGACAGCTTCATCCAGCGCAGCCAGTTGCTTGCCGCTGTGTGAAAGTCACACGACGGAACAGATTCAGCTGCGCTGAAACCGTGTGCTCCGTTAGCGACGGCGAAATGTTTGGCTGTGCCTGCCTGCGAGCCGCATCCGAAACCTGGAGCTGTTGCACCTGGGGCCTTGATGGAGGTGCCCGTGAGTCACGCTGTGACCATGTGAAGTTGTTCTGTGGCCTGGTGACATGGTGGTAACCAGCGCTGCGCAGAACCGTGACGGTGGTGGAAGTGTAGTATCCTCCCTTTAGCATCACTCTACAACCACGTACAATTTCGTTCATAAGAAGCCAATTTTGGCACACTGTAAGAAAGACAGCATTTTCATGGAGGAGAGTGCCTCCCGCTTTCCCCTTCATGAGTTTTCCTTCCACCCCCCTCTTTTCCCCTCTCCTTCCTCTGCCTCTGCCCCTCTCCTTCCTCTGCCTCTGCCCCTCTCCTTCCTCTGCCTCTTGCCCTTCGCCTTTCTCTCTGCCTCTCCCCCACAATTCTCAGAGCCCCTCCAGGCGTAGGTAGCTTGCTGCAAGTCTCCAGCATCCATCGCTCTGCACCCTCGTAGCACCACCAGCTGCCACTATCCCTGTGCGCTCATCGCATCAACTGGCATGCGCTGATCATGCCCACTGCCATGCGCACATCACGCCCAATGCCATGTACTCAACAATTTGTGAGCCCATGCCATCGAGCCCACTGGCACGACCCTTGGCACATCTGCAACGCTGCCTCCATCAGCCTGGGTAAAGTTCAGCATCCTTTCGCACGAAGCTTGAAATCATGCACAGGGCTCTGATTGGTTCGGTGCCTGAGATGCATTCTTATTTGGCTCTATCCAGGTGCTTTGTATCGCACCACATGTTATTGCAACCCCACCACATGCAATGCAAGATCCCTGGCATGTTTCTTACCGTAGGATATTCTCACAATGGAAAACCACATGGCATTATTCTATAATGAACACGAACCAGTACCATACTATAACTTACAAATATACACCTATCACAATTTATCAGGATAAACAAAAGAGGCGGTGATATTACCACGTAGCCTCACGCCGTTCACTTTGATGGTGGAGTAGAAGTAGCAGGGGGCGAAGAAGAACCCTGCATTAACCAGCGCAAACACCCTGCTCACCGGCCTGAACGGCACTGTGAGGTTGGCGACAGTACTGGACGTGCAGCGGTATGACCCCAGCGTGCTGGTGGGCTTGGGCGTGCACCCAAACTCTGCCACGATCTCCCCTGTGTCGGTGCGGTAGGAGGACTTGGAGAAGACCGGCGCTGGGTGTCAGAATGTTATGTTTGTCTAGCCTGCAGTGGGGTACTCAATAGTGAGTACAGCCCAATTTAGGGTTTGCTATATGTACTCAACTGCTTGCTAGTGAAACCACTTCCTTCCATTCATTCTCGTTCTATGTTTCTCATGGTATCGAGCAGGTTCCCTCGTGGGAACTGTTCCTAGGGCCCACCAAGATTTTTTTTTCTGACCGAAGCGCGAGTCGCCCCTGCCCGAGGCGCTCCCCGTGGGCCGCCCTCTCGTCGCGTCCCCTGCCCTTAGCGGCCCGTCGCGCCCTTCTAGAGGCCCCTCTCACGGCCCCTCGCGCCACCCCTAGCGGCCCCGTCGCCGCCCTTAGCGGCCCCGTCGCCACCTTTCGCGGCCCCGTCGCCGCCCCTAGCGGCCCCGTCGCCGCCCTTCGCGGCCCCGTTGTCGCCCTTCGAGGCCTCTCGCGGCCTCTTCGCGGCCCCGTCGCCGCCCCTAGCGGCCCCGTCGCCGCCCTTCGCGGCCCCGTCGCCGCCCCTATCGGCCCCGTCGCCGCCTCCTGCGGCCCCGTCGCCGCCCCTAGCGGCCCCGTCGCCGCCCCTATCGGCCCCGTCGCCGCCTCCAGCGGCCCCGTCGCCGCCCCTATCGGCCCCGTCGCCGCCTCCAGCGGCCCCGTCGCCGCCTCCAGCGGCCCCGTCGCCGCCCCTATCGGCCCCGTCGCCGCCCCGGCCATGCTCCGTCGCCTGTCGCGGCGCACCGGGGACCCGTGCACCGCCCCCCCCTCTTTTCCCGTCGCCTGTCGAGGCAACCTGAGGGGGCCGCGCGCGGGCGACCTGGGGGGGGGGGGCGACCTGGGGGGGGGGGGGGGCGAGCGTCGCCCCTTCTGCCGCCTGTTTTGGCGCCCTGGGAGGCCGCGCGTCGCCCCCCCCCCCCCCCCGTAACCTCCCTACCCGCCGTCCCGCCCTGCCCTGTGTTAGGGTCTGGGGGTGGCGAGTAGGGGGTGGCGGGTGTGTGGTCTCCCCTGCTCCTCCTCCTCCTCTGTCTCCCACTGCTGCAGCTGCCGCTGAGGGGGGTGGGTGTGTGGGAGTCGACGGAGTGGTGCTAGGGGGTGGGGTGTGAGTGAACCTAGGGTGCAGCAGGGGGTGTGTGAAAGGGGGGTGGGATAGTTTGGGGAGGTTGAAGGGGGGTGGCCGCCGTGAAGCCCGCAGCTCCAGTCGCCCGTGAGACCGTTGCGCCAGTCGCCCGTGAGCCCGTTGCACCAGTCGCCCGTGAGCCAGTTGCTCCAGTCGCCCGTGAGTCCGTTGCTCCTGCCGCTCAGAGTTAGCCACGGAGCCAGTTACTCCAGTAGCCCGTGTGCCAGTTGCTCCAGTTGCCAGTGTGCCAGTTGCTCCAGTTGCCCGTGTGCCAGTTGCTCCAGTTGCGCCGTGTGCCAGCAGCTTCAACTGCCGCCCACTACCTCCTCTCCTCTCATAGTCCCTCCTCCTCCACACTTGCCCTCGGTGATAGCCTCTAGCTTTGCTTACATTTGTGAACTTTAAACTGTTGCTTCTTGTACTTGTGCTAAGATTGTGTGGTGACATTGTGATCCACCCTGAGCTTGTGTTTTGCTTGCTTGTTGTGCTGATTACACCCCACTTTGGCTATGGGGGTGTGTCAGAATGTTATGTTTGTCTAGCCTGCAGTGGGGTACTCAATAGTGAGTACAGCTCAATTTAGGGTTTGCTATATGTACTCAACTGCTAACTATTGAAACCACTTCCTTCCATTCATTCTCGTTCTATGTTTCTCACTGGGCTGCTCGGCACGCCCATCACGGTGAAGCTGTAGAACGCCTTTTGCTGCGCTGATGTGCTGTGAATGGGTGGAGACGGATGCAGGGGTGCGAGAGAGTGGTGAGAAGCAGGGGGGTGAGAGAGCGGTGAGAAGCAGTGGTTGAGGGAGAGCGGTGAGAAGCAGGGGTGAGGGAGGGCGGTGAGAGAGAGAGAGAGAGAGAGAGAGAGAGAGAGAGAGAGAGAGAGAGAGAGAGAGGGGGGGGGGGGGGGGGAGGGAGGGAGAGAGGAAGGGAGAGAGAGGGAGGGAGAGAGAGAGAAAGAGCAGTTTTTTCAAGGCAATAGTTGTTTAGGAACTGGGTTGAGCAACATCTGCGCAGAGGTTTTGACCGTGCTGTAATAAGGAGGAGATATGCTGACTTTCACTCACATCTTAACATCCACGTTGAATTTGATGTGAGCACTGAGGCAGCTCGGACTGCAGCGGGCAGATGAGGACACACGCAGCAAGCCAAAGAGGACACAGATGAGCGGTTTAAAAGGCAGAAGGAACATTGAAAGCAGACAGCGAATGGTCTGCAGTAGGAGACACGAGGTGGTCGGGATCCACGCATGTGCATGTGCGTGTGGATGTGGATGTGCGTATGGATGTGCATGCGGATGTGCATGTGGACGTGCATGTGGATGTGCATGTGGACGTGCAAGTGGATGTGCATGTGCATGACTCATATCTGGTGGGTCTATTAATGACTACACAAGCTACGCTGCAGTTGTCCAACCATCCAGTACTCCTAGTGCTGCTCCCGCTGCTGCTCCCACTGCCGCTCCCAGTGCTGCTCCCAGAGGTGCTGCCCCCAGTGCCGCCAGTGCTCCCCGTGCTCCCCCCGCTGCTGGAGCTCGAGGTGCTGCCAGCGCTGCTGCTGCTGCTGCTGCTCCCGGAGACGGTGCTTACATCTCCGATAACGAGAGTCTCGTTAGGGTCCGTGCTGCCTCCGCTCGTGCTGCCGCTGCTGCCCGTGGTGGTGCTGACCGTTTGGGTCAGGAGGCCGTCGCTCGCATCCAGCAGCTCTCGCTGCACGGCGCCGCCCGCTGCGCAGCAGAGGGAGAGCGAAAGCAGTGCTGCCAAGGGGAGGGGTGTGCGGGAATCAGTGCAGCGAAGCAAGGGGGTAAACAGGTGTAGCGACTCAGCACGCGGAGTGTAACAAGCATGATATAGGGGAAACGGGCAACCGCGGTGAGTCGCGGCTTCAACGAGGGATCCCCGTTGGGAAGCGCGCCGCGCTTGGAAGGCCCGCGCGAGGGGCTATCGATGATGCACTCACGGCGCGCGACACTCGCGGAACGACTCATGCGCGAGACGACATTTCCAGGGCCTTCGACGGAACGGAGACGCAGACGGAGACGGAGCGACACGACAGGGCGACCGAGGCGACATGCGATGAGGCGACATGCAACAGGGCGATTTTACGTACACGTGACTCAGTGGGGTGCCTTGTGTACACATGATGAATGTCACATGATATCCGATACTTTGACATCGCCCAAGTTGCTTGACCATATGACGGGAAAGCTCAGCTATGTATCCGCCATCGCGGCGACGTACTAGTACTATATCACTTCTTTGTAGCTTTTCAGAGATGACGCTGAACAACGAGGCGACAGGAGGCAACGAGGGGACAAGCAGGGCGTAGTGTCACATCATGTCAGGGCGATACGACAAGGTAACGAGGCGAGGCGGAGGGCTCACCAACGATGACGATGGCGAGGCGCTTAACGTCGAGCGACGGCGAGTGAGAGAGTGACGTCATCCGAGCCATGGCTGAATGGAGCCGCCGCGTGAAAATTGGTGTTGCAAGTCGAATTTGAGACGACCTCGAGAACCGTGAACTTCGGAATTGATTTAATGTCTAAGGCAAAGGCTGAGTCTGCGCTAGCGAATAGGCTGAAGCGTTTGATGCTCTTATAGGGAATGGAGGGCAAGAGGGTCGTACTGCGCCGTGCGGTTTCCTACCCTCGCGTTCGCTGCGGCATTCGCATTTTCAGGAGCTCTCAGTGGTTTGCGCTGCACTAATGGCGGAAGCCAACGCAGCTGGTTTGATGCCATTTTGTGGAAGCCACACGACGGAACACAGCTCAACAGATTCAGCTGTGTGCTCCGTTCGCGACGGCGAAATGTTTGGCTGTGCCTCCCGGCGAGCCGCATCCAAAACCTACTGGGCACCTGGCGCCTCGGGCCCAGTTCGGCAGGCATTCTCGCCATTATCGCCATTATGGGCATTTTTAACGGGCCCCCAAAAAACGGCCCCAAGAAACAGAGTGTAGCTGCATTGAAACTTCGGAAAAATGGGGCCGAGTGTTTGGTTGGCATTAACTGAGCTAAGATTAATGGCATCAACCGAAAACGACACTTCGGAGAAGCCTGTATGTAGCCGCGCGGATGGAGCGCAGAATCACTGTTTTGGGAGCCCGGGCAGCCCTGCAAACCAGCGGTGGACGTCGAAAAAAATCGGCGAAGGGAAACTGTCCGTTCGATGTGTTAGTGATGGTGTGTTGGTGATGTGCGATTTTCCAGCGGGCACGAAGAGGGGTGAGAAAGACCGGGATTTGTTTTTTTCAGGGCAAGGTGTGATTGCCCCGAATCAATGATCCCCCGCATGGTGCGGGACCTCGAGGCCGCATGGTGCGGCGGATGAGAAAATGGACAGTTTGCCTGAGAAATATGGTTCGAGGAAGGTTCCACTGGTGGAAAATGCCAGCGTTAAAAGGGGTGTTCGGCTGGCATTCCATTATTGTCTGGTTCGGTGATGATCCGCTTATATCGAGCCTAGATAACCTTTCACGTGCTTATCAAAGAAGGTTCCAGGGTGGTCGGTTTACTGTAGCCCATACGGGGAAACCGTTTTTTTAATGCCTGCCGAACTGGGCCTTGATGCAGGTGCCCCGTGAGTCGCTCTGTTACTGTGCGAAGTTATGTCGCATGGTGGTGGTAACCAGCGCGGAGCAGAACCAGGGAGGTGCTGACAGTGTATCCTCTCTATGCATCAGGGCCCACGTTATCAGAGTAAATCACTCTGTTTCTCTGAAAATCAGAGTTGTTTTTTAGAGGGACTCTGTACCTGCTGGGTTATGATTTTGGGAGTTGTGTTTTCTCTGATGTATCAGAGTTGAGATATAGTTCACTCTGAGGCCCCAGGGTTTTTTTTCTAAGGATGGTGTTTACTCTGTACAGAGGATACAGGCCCCCTAGCCCCCCCCCCCCTTTCCCCAATTACCAGGGTTAAACCGAGTCGCCGAGCACTTCATCAAGATTCGCTTCGTGTGTTGGCGGCATTTTGCGAGCTGATTGGCTAGAGTGGCAGTTTTCCCAGCCAGCGCACACTGTTACACATCTGAACTTCAGTCAGGATCAAGGAATGATACAGCGCACGGAAGGTGTAAACGTGGGCGACGCGGCCAAGCCCTGCTAGTGCTCGGCTGGCTCACCGGGGGGTGAACCCGTGTTTCTCCATCCATTTCCACAATCCGTGATCAGGCTTAAGGTACCCAGCATCACTACCACGCCTCAAGCCACCCTTCTCCTGCAGCCTTGCCACAGATGGCTAACGACGCAGACCACGCTGACACTGCTGCGCCTGATCCTGATCCCGGCCCGTCATGCAGCTCTCGCCCCATCACAGGTATGGAGTTTCTGCGCAGGGTACATCGTTCCCACGAGCACGCCGGCGACCAGCAAGATGGCGGTGGTGAGTACTGGGGAGGCGACGATTGGTATCGTCAGGATGGACCGGACGACGACGAGCATTCCGATGGGGTCGAGGTGTGGGTTCGCTTGCCACGCCAAGAAGATGAAGACCACGACGGACAGAACGAGGTGTGCGATGGATCGCACCACCCAAGCATCGCTGAACCGGCCGAGACAGCACCAACACAGGTCGTGGATGCGTCTGTTCCAGACTCGACCGCCTCACAGACGCCGAAGAAGCGGCGCTTCACGCAGTCCGTGCTCGGGATTGGTCTGCAGCCCGTTAAGCCTGCACCGACTCCGCCGCCACCTGCCAAGAAAACAACACCTGTAGTCCGACTCACCGCAGAGGAGAAGAAGGAGAAGTTGTATTTGAAGGCCCAGAAAAGCTACACGTCGGAATGGCTTCCGCGGTTCCCATGGTTAATCCTTGATAAATCGACTGACGGTTTCCCTTGTGTTCGCTGCAGTGTCTGTATAGAGCACGGGAAGGACGATGCTCGCTACGGCCGCAACGGGAAAGGAGGTCGGGACCTCCAGATTGGGTCCTTTCGCTGGCACGAGGAGAGCGTGAAGCACGACGATGCCATGAAGAAGCAAATGGGTCTGATGAAGAACAACGAGGAGCAGAAACGCATCGATGTCTTTGCGAAGGGCGATCCGGAGGGCGCGCGGATTTCGCGGCTAATGCGGAGCATCGTGTTTGTGTGCAAGACGGACACACCGATTCAGATGTACCCCAGGCTCGTGCAGTTTCTTGCTGAGGAGGGCGTCGCCGACATACCGCGACAGTCTTACGGCGTGTACATCACACAGTGAGTCTCACTTGATGTTGAACCCCGTACTCCTTGATTTTCCTTTTTTTTTTTCAATATGCACTAACAACGAACCGTTGGTTGTGGCCAGGTATGGCTTTTCGGAAATGGTAAAGGCTTTAACCACTTTCCTTCACCGCGAGCAAATGCGACACGTGCACTCGTCGCCATACATTGGCATCATGTGCGACGAGAGCACAGACCGCGCTCGTGGCAAACACATGATTGTGTTTGTCACTTTCCTGAAGGACCGCGTGGTGGTAACGGAGTTCTTGACGCTCCTTACCGTCACTCAATGTGACGCGGCGTCGCTGCATACCGTTCTGCTCCAACATCTGGAGACCATCGGCATCGACCTTCAGAAAATTGTTGGGATGTCAACAGACGGCGCCTCTGTCATGGTCGGATCGGAAACTGGGCTTGTGACGCGCCTTCGCATGCAGATTGCGCATCTCGTCGGGTGCCACTGCATCGCGCACAGGTGTGTTATTATTCCAAAATGTTTTTGGTATTTTAACACGGTAAAACATCTCTCTGAGTCTATGTGATTTTCTTTTTGTGGTTTACATATCCTACTCTGCAACCCCCTGTTCCCTACCGTGCAGAGAAGCGTTAGCTGTCAAGAATGCAGCAGAGGCCTATCCAGACTTCAACATCGTGGACGACGCCATCAGGGCCCTCGGGTCGATCGTCGGGAAGTTAACTCCCTGGTATGAGCGGTTCAAGGAGTTGCAGCAGGTGTACCACAAGACCAATCTGGAGCACCAGGGGCTCCACAACGTGCGCTGGCTGGCACAGGGCGAGGCAATGCTGCGGATGTGCCGGGTTCTTGGGGCGGCGATCTGCGTCTTCATCGAGTACGAGCACAAGATAGCCAGCACCGTGCAGACGTTGAAGTTTCACTTCTGCGTTTATTTTCTGGCAGACATCTTGCCCGAGCTCAACAATCTGAACCGGTTTTTCCAGAGGCGAAAGGTAATGTTATGCAGTATTATCTCGACGCTGTTTCCCACTTCTGCCTGGTGGTTTACACGTTTGTTTACTCTGTAATGTGAACTTATTATGTTTGGCTGTATTATCTCAAACCCTCCCGCCCTCCGCCCAGGTGGACGTCACAATCGTGGCGCAGGAGGTGGACCGCACGGTGTCGTACATCCAACACCGCTACATCGACTACGAGACGAAGTTCGGGGAGGGCCTTAGCCCACAGCTGTCGCCTTTCCTGGAGCGCCACAAGGATGGCAAGCGTGAGCTGAAAGTGGAGGGCGTGGACTCCAACGGCCGCGCAGTGAGCCAGGAGATTGTTCTAAGCGAGGCGCCCATCGCTGGCCACAAGTTTGGCGGAACAATGCGCGACTGCGAGAAGATGTGCAAGGCATTCGCCAAGCAGACTGTCCATAATCTCACCGAGCGGATGGCGGATCTTCATCGCATGGGCGGGACGAGGCTGTTCAAGGTGGAATCGTGGCCCCCCAACCTCGACACACGCGAGCGGCGCTGCCTCATGTGGCTTCGGCAAAACTCTGTGCTGTTCAACAACTGTCTGCCCGGTGAGAATCTAGAACACTTTGTCAGTTGCGCATGACTGGTGTTGTTTGGCTAAGCTCTGCTATCAGTAAATTATTTCAGTTTAAAACCCAAATTTGTCCCTGCGCGCAGGTTTCGACTTGCGGGCAGCAGAGCTCGAGCTGAAGACGTTCTGCCACATCCTCAAGAACCACCATGAGGACGAGGACTTTCATCAGGGGCTCCAAAACATGCTGAAGACGCGCGACTGGGCTCGCACGTACCCCAACCTGATGCTGATGTGGCAGGCGTTGTCCGTGCTACCGCTCAGCACTGTTGAGTGCGAACGTGGGTTCAGCAGGCAGAACGTCATCAAGAGCTGGATACGCACGTCACTCAACGACGCTCGTCTGACAGAGCTGATGAGCATCCACATGCTCCAGTACGACTTCGTGTGGCATGAAGTCGTTGACATCTGGCGCAATCAGAAGAAGCGTCGCCCCGCCAAGAAACCTGCGTACAACGCACCAGTTTGCGCAAGGGGGAAGGCGAAGATAGAGTCTGATGCGGAATCGGAGGGCGAGGATGACTACTACTAGTGTAGCCCAAGGGCCTCCTCTTTATTAGTTAGTTAGTATCGGATTTCCTATATTACATTCAATTATGAAATACATTCGTGACTGAACTGTGTTGGAAACAATCGGTCCTAAGCGCCTCTGTCGTGTCGAAACACTAAGACACAAAAGAAACGAAGTATAACGAATCACCGGCGAGTCAACCCTCGGAGGTTGAAAGTAACTGTTGGAGGTTACGCGAAAGTCAAAGGTCAGCGACCTTTGACCTGACAAAGTACAGCGCGACAACAAGGACAAACAACTGACTCGGTATTGAGCAGTTGCCCGAGTCGTCACTGTATCGAACCGCAACAGCAATAGTAAAACGGTTATTAACTGTATCTCTTCGTATTCCTTGTACTCTTATAAAAGCTTGTATCTCTTTGTTTTAATAAACTTACTTTGCCCTCACATACTAGCGCAAGGTGGTTCACAACTCTTTAACTAACGCTTCCGCTACTACACCAACTCTACCCAGAGTTCACCCCTGCAAAGATCCTAAGGGTTTTTCAGCCCAACATGGTATGAGAGCTATCAGGGGGAATTCAACTTCTATACCGACAACATCAACAAGCATGGCTACACAAAAGGAAAGGAGCAACTCCAACGGCTCCCAGGGCACTACTCCTACTCCACCTCCTGCCTCTGGCCTACAGACAGAGGAGGGCACAGCAACAAGACCCAGAGCAACATCTACCGAGACTCCCGCGAATCAACCTGCAGACTTCGACCAGAGCATGATGGAGAAGTTTTTCTCCTTCATGTCCTTCTACGAGCAACACCAGCAATCGGCACCTGCGCAGTCACACAACAGCAACAACAACGGAGCAACACCCATGAGTCTCGACGGCTCATCATATGCACGAGGAAATCAACAACAGCAGCCTATCTTTGCTCCGTACGAGCGCGGGTCCATCAGCTTTATGCCACACCCACAGCCTTCACCTGGACAAGAAAAATCACTGGACGCATTACAAGTTCAGTCGCAGTTCGCACACGTTCTGAAGATGCAGACGTCAAGACCCTTCGATGGAAAGGACTTCTTCATCTGGTCGTTCGAGTTCGAGCTGATGATGGAAGGCGCGCAGATACTCGGGTTCTTCGACGGGTCTCTGCCATACCCAACAAACGGCACACAGTACAAGAAGCAGCAGTACACCTATCAGTCAATGATGGCGTACACGATCCTACTGAGGAATATCACCCCGACTCAACAGCAGAACATAAGGTCTTACCGAGGTTACGGCAACTCCGCGGAGCTCGCGTACAACCACTTGAAGAGCATGTATCAAGCAACAGACAGCGTAAGCCAAAGTCGGTTAATGGCGCAACTGACAACGGTTGAAATGAAACCAGGGGAGAAAGGAATGGCGTATATCAGTCGATGTCGCGAGTTGCGCGACAAGCTTCTTCGATGCGGAGGGTCGATCTCTGAAGACGCCTTCGTGACAGTCATCATCGGCGGCCTCGGTCCTCAATGGCGCGCCACAAAGGCCATTCTCCGAGCTCACGGAAGAATCTTCGAAGCACCGCTCTACGCCGAAATCCACGCCGAGCAGCAAGACATGGACCTGCAAAAAGAACGACACAAAAAGAAGACATCAGCACCGGAATTCGCGTTCCACACTCAGCGACGCTACAACAACAACAACAACAACCGGCAGCAACAACCGAAGCCAGTACCTCCGTTCTGCCACATCTGCAAAACTTCAGCACACCCGCGTACGCACTGCCCAAATCGTCAACAGTCAACAACTCCACAGCGGCAACTTCGACCTTCAAGCAGCCAAATCGCCTCAACGCAAGCAAATCCCACGACCCAGATTCAAGCCTCAACGACTTCAACGGGACAACCTGCACAAGGAGCAAGAAACATCGTCAGCTGCATGGCAAAGCTGAGTGACTCCTGCATCACCGAGTCACCACCACACTACTCACCGGAAGAACAACTCGACGAAACCACACCCCGCCGCGAGTCACTTCAGCCAAACCCGACATACGCCGCCATCGCCCAAAGCGAACCATCCGGAAAGGACACATGGTTCTTGGACAGTTGCTGCGGACAGCACATGTGCTCCTCGGGACGCTTCGTTCAACGAGAACACCAACTTCAACGTGAAGTTGTCATTACAGTCGCCAACAATCAGAACCTGCAAACACGACGACAAGGCGTAGTTCAACTTCAGTCAAGGGAAACAAACGTTCTACTGCAGATGTCAAAAGTACTAATCGCGGAGGGACTCGGCTACAACTTACTGAGCGTCAGTCAGCTAATGGCGAAAGGGATTCACCTCGAAGCAGACAGCACCACCCAAGAATTCAAGCTGTATCACGGGAGAGGAGGACTTTACATCGGCAAGGCGGTCCTCAAGAACAACGTCTTCGTTCTCGATTTCGTTCCTGATCTTGGCACCGCCGACAGCGACGCCATCGTTAACTTCACCAACTGGACACACCCTCCAGACCTTGATCCAGACTTCAGTCCAGAAGGCTTCTGGTATTCACACACCATCCCTGAAGCAGAAAGAACAAGGGCGTTAGCAACAATTTAGACAACATCAGCAGCAGCAGAGACAACATCGGCAGCAGCAGAGACAACATCGGCAGCAGCAGAGACAACATCGGCAGCAGCAGAGACAACATCGGCAGTAGCAGAACCATCAACGGCAGCAGCAGGAACGTCAACACCAATTGCTGGTCCTTCAACGACACCGCTCCTCATCGACGACACACCACCGACACCCGCGCAACAACTACACCCAGCACCACAAGAAGTTCATCGTAGCGCCAACTTCACCGCCAACTTCTACTCCAACTCCGATATGTACCGACGATCACCCGGACATCGCGCCGACGAAAGCACCTGGCACGCAAGGATGGGACACCCAAGCAACACAGTATTAAACAATACGATAAGAGCAGGAGTACTCGACAAGGACTCACTCCTACTGACCGACGGACGAGAACTTCAACGAGTACGCGGAACGTGCTTCACCTGCCCTGAAGATGACTTACCACATCGACCGTTTGCGTCTCATCACAACCCGAGCGCACCCGCGTACGCACCACTCGAGAAGGTGTATAGCGACATCCTGTACAATCGGGAACCAGGACAAGTAATATACAACTATACAATCACCTTCATCGACGCCGCCACCCGTTACGTCTGGCACCTAAACCTCCCTAGCCGCGACATGGCATTCGCAGCCTTCGTTGCCTGGCTACCAGTAGCAGAGAGAGAATCGGGCGTGAAACTGAAAAGCTTCCAGTCAGACGGAGGTGGAGAATACACCTCTCAGCGATTCAAGCAGTACCTGGCGGAAAGGGGAATCAAGCGGCTCATCTCCCTTCCCTACGCCCATCAGCAGCAAGGTGTAGCAGAAAGAATGAACAGGACCTTGCAGAACAGCATGCGCAAACTGTTACGTGGCATGCGGCTACCCAACCACCAGTGGCCTGCGGCAATGGACCACGCCGTCATGCTGCACAACTTGCTCTCGTCATCATCGCTTCCAAACAACGCATCACCGCATCTGCTATGGACAGGGAAACAGGGCAGCACAAAAATGTTACGAGTATTCGGATGCATGGTACAGTACCGACCCCCAGCAGCACGAGAGGGCCGATTTTCTCAACGAGCACAGTGGGGACTACACCTGGGAATCGAAAAGAACTACAACGCGTGGAAAATCTTCGACGTCCATTCCAAGGAAACAGTAGCAGCACGTGATGTAATTTTCTACGAACGACTCACGCTCCAGACATACCTTGCCAACCTGCAAGAAGACCAGGATCCCACAGGTGGTTTTCGCGGTGACCGAGCCTTCGCCTCAGCAACGGACGAAGCTGACTGGGACGAGCAGAATGTGGACAACGCATCAGAAGAAGCCGGACCTCTTCCGTTCTGCTCCGTCGACGTTCCCATGGACGAAGATAACCCTCGCGAAAGTGTCAACGCCGAAACCTTCTACTATTTCGCCGACAACGGTTACGTAACACCTGCGACAGTCAACACCAACGAAGCAGAACGAGTAGGACCCAACTTCATACCTGATCCAGAAGCGGGAGATGAAGCAGCTTATCCCGAGGACGCAAATATTCCCCGCTACTCACAGAGTGGACTGCAAATTCTCGGACTCGTCACCGCAGTCCATGGCACCGCCATTCCTAAAGAGCCTGCGACGGTTCAACAGGCTCTGGGGGGGGAGCATAAGGAAAAATGGCGCGAAGCCATGGACAAGGAGCTGAAGGCACTGGAGGAACGCAACACGTGGAAAGTGGTTCCTATCGGCGTGGCACGGAACAAGACAGTGCTCACCGGGAAGTGGGTCTTCCGTGTGAAGACAAAGGCTGACGGCACCATTGACAAATTTAAAGCTCGCTGGGTTGTACGCGGCTTCGACCAAGAACACGGACGCGACTTCACCGAAACTTTCGCTCCGGTTAGCCGCCACACCTCACTACGCATTCTCCTCGCAATCGCCGCCATGAAGAAGAAAAAGCTGCGACAAATTGACGTCGCGAACGCGTTTCTCTACGCACCTGTTGATGCAGAAATTTTCGTCGAGCTACCGCACGGCTCCCACAGAGAACCCAACCAAGTCTGCCAGCTACTCAAGTCACTCTACGGCATCAAGCAGGCTCCGCGACTGTGGCAACAGTACCTGCACGCTCGCCTCATCCGCATCGGCTTCAAGCAACTACCGCACGATCAAGGCATGTACCGGCTCACAAAAAACGACGACTACATCCTACTAATCGTCTACGTGGACGATCTCCTTTACATCGGCTCAAATGACGGCATCACTACCTGGTTCGAAGGGGAGCTGCAGCGAGATCTCACGCTCACAGTTTCATCTACCGTCACTCAGTACCTCGGCCTCAACATCCGGGAAGAGGAGGACGCGATCTACCTCAGCGCCGAGAAATATGCCGACACCATCGCCAAACGCTTTACGCTCACACCGACAGCCATCTCCACGCCATACCGCTACACGGCAGGGAACGACAAAGGAAGCTCCGCTCTACTCAAGCCCGCCGGCATACGAGACTACCAGAAGAAGCTGGGATGTCTTCTCTTCGCAGCCGTCACCTGTCGCCCCGACCTCTCATACTCCGCAAGCCAGCTCGCCACCTACCTCAAGAAGCCTGAAGCAGAACATCTGGCGGAGCTCGACCGCGCTCTTCACTACTTCGTCAGCACCCCAACGATCGGCCTAACTTACTACAAGAACGCAACCACACCGACTAAGTTAATCGGCTACGTCGACGCTGATCACGCTGGCGACTCCGACAATAGGCGCTCCCGCACCGGCTACATCTACCGCCTCGAACCTATCGGACCTATCTCTTGGCAGTCGAGCAAGCAGGAATTAATTGCTCTCTCGTCAGCTGAAGCAGAATATTTTGCACTCTGCTCAGCCACCAAGGAAGGACTCTATCTTCGCGAGCTGCTGGAAGAAGCGAAGTTAGCCGAGTTACCCAACTTTACCCTGTTCTGCGACAACCAGTCGACAATTCGCATCGCCAACAAGAACGGCTTCGCGAACAGGACGAAACACATCGCCCTGCGATATTTCTTCGTGAAGGACGAGATCGAGAAGGGAAGGCTCGAGCTGTCATACTGTCCCACGTCCGAGATGGCAGCTGACTACCTGACCAAGAAGCTCGGAAAGCAGAAGTTCGAATACTGCATGCTGCTGACTGGACAGAGCCACGTCAGCGACACTCCAGAAGCGAAGGGGAGTGTTGGAAACAATCGGTCCTAAGCGCCTCTGTCGTGTCGAAACACTAAGACACAAAAGAAACGAAGTATAACGAATCACCGGCGAGTCAACCCTCGGAGGTTGAAAGTAACTGTTGGAGGTTACGCGAAAGTCAAAGGTCAGCGACCTTTGACCTGACAAAGTACAGCGCGACAGCAAGGACAAACAACTGACTCGGTATTGAGCAGTTGCCCGAGTCGTCACTGTATCGAACCGCAACAGCAATAGTAAAACGGTTATTAACTGTATCTCTTCGTATTCCTTGTACTCTTATAAAAGCTTGTATCTCTTTGTTTTAATAAACTTACTTTGCCCTCACATACTAGCGCAAGGTGGTTCACAACTCTTTAATTAACGCTTCCGCTACTACACCAACTCTACCCAGAGTTCACCCCTGCAAAGATCCTAAGGGTTTTTCAGCCCAACAAACTGAACCGTGTGAGTGACAACAAAACGCAAAACAGTTGGAAAAACAATACTCCCATTCCATACTTCTCACACAACATTTTACACTACGATCAGAGTACAAAAAAAAATTACTCTGACGTGCCAGGGTTTTTAATCCACGTAATAGGGTTACTCTGTCAGCTCAGAGTAAGGCGTAGGAACCACTCTGGATTTCAGAGTTCGCATAAAAACTACTCTGAAAACCAGAGTACCGAAAAAACCAAAAGAAGGCCCTGCTATGCATCATTCTCAGAACCACGTATATTTTCGTCCATCCACAATTTAGTTTTGGCCCTTAGTACCGTGATCTCCCGGTTACAAGACCCCCCCGCATAAAAGCCCCGTGGGTCTTCTATCCGGCCCAGGGGTCTTTTATTAGGTCAATCCTGGAGAGGACCCGCCTTTTGACCCAAATCATTATAAGACCCCCCCTCAGGCTATAATGAGTGGTGTTAGTTCATGAGCTGGTTAGAGAGTCACACAAAAAAACCACCAAATTTACTTAGTCAGGCGAATTTGTGGTCAAGGGAGTCAAGATGCCACATCAATCACGCGTTTTTGCCGCCCTTCAGGCAACAAATGCTGACGTGCCTGTCATTATTAGGCATTTCTGAACGTGCGGAAAGGAATCAGGGAGACTCGAGTGCGAGAATCTGAGAATGAATTTCTGCGCTGTGAAGGAATCCAAAATTCAGTACAGAAATTTTTGAATTTCTTCAACATTGCACTACACAATCCATTTTCCATTAATTAATAGATGTCCAGGGGTCTTATGCACTTCATGTCATTACATAAGACCCCACAACCCAGTTCGGGCACATTTAGGATAAGACCCCCGGGTCTTCTAGGCGGGAGATCACGGTAAGAAAAAAGTATATATTTTTAACCAAGTAGGGAGGCCAGACTTGCTGCTAAATAAATCACGTCATATAAAAAGTGCTATATATTTTGCGAGTCATAAAATTTGGAAATATAACTTCCCATCCTCCTACAATCCCATCTGAGCTAAGACCATAGTACACTACAAGCCATGGCCTGGGTGATCACAGGTTAGCTACAGAGGCGATGATATCACCACGCAGAGCCACACCATTCACTTTGATGGAGGAGTAGAAGCCGGTGGGGTTGCTGAAGAACCCCGCATCCACCAGCGCCTTCACCCTGCTCACCGGCCTGAACGGCACCGTGATGTTGGCGAGAGTACTGGCGGTGCAACGGTAGGTGCCCAGTGTGCTGGTGGGCTTGGGCACGCATGTGAACTCCGCTATGAGCTGGCCCGCGGTGGTGTGGTAGGAGGAGTTGGAGAAGACAGGTGCTGGGCTGCTCGGCACGCGCATCACGGTGAAGCTGTAGAGCGCCCTCTGCTGCGCTGATGTGCTGTGAATGGGTGGAGTGGGATGCAGGGGTGAATCAGAGCAGTGCGATGCAGTGGTAAGACGGAGCAGTGAGAAGTTTGCGACAAATGCAAGACAGAATGGGTGCAACGGAACAAATTCGTGTACGTCTACGGGCTGCAATGGGGGTTCGTGTTTATTGGAGGAGAGGGATGAATAGAAACTGGAGTGAGCAACATCTAGGCAGGGGTTGCGACCATGTGATTAGAAGGGGGACGGTTGACGTGCACTCACATGTTAACATCCACGTTGAACTTGGCGCTCGTGTTGGTTTGTGAGGTGAGCACTGAGGCAGCTCGGTCTGCAGCAGGCAGAAGAGGACACAGTTGAGCTACTTTTTGAGGCAGCAGGAAGATTTAAAGCAGGCAACAAATAGTCTGCAGTAGGAGACAATTGATGCATGCGCATGTGCCTGTGCGTGTGCGTGTGCATGTGCATGTGCCTATCCACATACATATGCATATGCTTTTGCACGTGCATGTGCATGTGCATCAACTTACATCTGATGGGGGCATTAAGGTCTACAGTGGCGCTCTTTCCGCCGTTGTTCAGATCGCCGCCGCTTGCGGTGCTGCTCCCGCTGGTGCCGCTTGCAGTGCTGCTCCCACTGGTGCCGCTCGCAGTGCTGCTCCCACTGGTGCCGCTCGCAGTGCTGCTCCCATTGGTGCCGCTCGCAGTGCTGCTCCCACTGGTGCCGCTCGCAGTGCTGCTCCCACTGGTGCCGCTCCCAGTGCTGCTCCCACTGGTGCCGCTCGCAGTGCTGCTCCCACTGGTGCCGCTCGCAGTGCTGCTCCCACTGGTGCCGCTCCCAGTGCTGCTCCCACTGATGCCGCTCGCAGTGCTGCTCCCACTGGTGCCGCTCCCAGTGCTGCTCCCACTGGTGCCGCTCGCAGTGCTGCTCCCACTGGTGCCGCTCGCAGTGCTACTCCCACTGGTGCCGCTCGCAGTGCTGCTCCCACTGGTGCCGCTCCCAGTGCTACTGCTACCATTGCCACTGCTACCAATGCTGCTGACCCCAGTGGTGCTGCTTTTAGTGCTGATTTGAGTGCTGCCGCCGCTTATGCTTGTTCCGCCGTCACCGCTCGACACAAGTAAGCCCCCAGTGTCCACTGCACTCACAGTGCCCCCCCCGCTGCTGCTCCCAGTGCTACTGCTCCCAATGCCACTGCTCCCAATGCCGAGGCTCCCAGTGGTGCCGCCTCCAAAGCTGATTTGAGTGCTGCCTCCGCTTATGCTTCCGCCGCCGCTCGACACAAGTAAGCCCCCAGTGTTTCCCGCAGCCACTGTGCTTCCCCCGCTGCTGCTCCCAGTGCTGCTCCCAGTGCCACTGCTCCCAATGCCGAGGCTCCCAGTGGTGCCGCCTCCAATGCTGATTTCAGTGCTGCCTCCGCTTATGCTTCCGCCGCCGCTCGACACAAGTAAGCCCCCAGTGTCTCCCGCACTCACAGTGCTTCCCCCGCTGCTGCTCCCAGTGCTGCTCCCAGCGCCACTGCTCCCAATGCCGAGGTTCCCAGTGGTGCCGCCTCCAATGCTGATTTCAGTGCTGCCTCCGTTTATGCTTCCACCGCCGCTTGACACAAGTAAAGCCCCAGAGCCCCCTGAACTCACGGTGCCCCCCTCGCTGGTGGAGCTTGAGCTGCTCCCACCGCTGCTGCTGCTGCCACCGCTACTGCCACCGCTGCTGCTGCTGCCACTGCTGCTGCCACCGCTACTGCTGCTGCTGCTGCTGCTGAGGGGGACAGTGCTTACAGCTCCAAAAACGAGAGGTTTGTCAGGGCCGCCCGTGCTGCCGCTGCTCAACGTGCTGCCGCTTATCGATCCAGTCCCTGTTCCAGTCAAGATGACGTCGCTCGCATCCACCAGCACACGTTGCCCGCCGCCCGCCGCTGCGCAGCAGAGGGAGAGCGAGAACAGCACTGCCAAGGCGGCAAAGGGGTGCCGGGAAACAGTGTGGCGAAGCATGAGGGGAAACAGGTAGAACCTGCGGCTGGGAAGAGGCGAGACTTTGTGCGGAGAGGTGGAAAGGCAACAGGGAAGGGGATGTGCGGAGGCGATGCGGGCAGGTCCACGTGTGGGGCTATCGATGATGCACTCCCGCTGGCGCGCGATACCTGCGCGGGACGACTCGCGGACGACGAGTCAAAATGACAGGGCGACGGAGAGACACGACAGGGCGAAGGCGACTTGACAGGGCGACGGGGCCACAGGGCGACGGGGCCACAGGGCGACGGGGCCACAGGGCGACGAGGCGACATGGGCGACGGAGTGACATGACCAGCAGCAGCTGCTGCTGCTGCTGCTGCTGCTACTACTACTAGGCGACGTGACAGCGTCTCAAAGATTGGCTTGGGTCTAAAGTCACCTCCGATGCTGGTCAAACTTCTCGCGAACTTAACACGCGTCCCGAATCTGCGTCTTAGTTCTGAGGGGGCGACAATGAAAGAGACGCGAAGCGACATGCTCAGGGGGCGAGGGGGCAAATACTACGACAGGGCAACGATCCTCTCATGCACACTCCGACAGGGCGAGGGCGCGCGACTCGGATTCACGAGTGCAGAGATACGCGATACAGCACTCGTGAAGTACAAATCGGGCAAAACACTGCATATCGATAAGATTCACAGAGTACGCCTCGTCAATACGTCACAGCCTACCCCCTCGGCATTGGTGATTGTGACTGTCCTTCAAGGACAGAAATCTCTCGTTGCGACACGGCCGCAGGGACGACGTGGCAGGGCAAGGCGACATGGCAGGGCGCGTAGTACGACGCGGTGGGCTCACCTGCGATGACGGCTGCGAGGCGCTTAACGTCGAGCGACGGCGCGCGAGAGAGTGACGTCATCCGAGCCATGGCTGGATGGAATCGCGGGAAGCTGGAAGTTGCAAGTCAAACTTGAGGCGATCTCGGGAAGCGTGAAATGGAGCGCGGGGAGTGGATGGTGGGTGAGTGTCTCAAAGAGGATGAGTCTGCGAACTGAGTGAAAGCAGCAGGAGCTCTTATAAGAAATGGAGGGCGCAGGAGCGCCGTACTTTTCCATACGAGTTCCTCCCCTCGCTTTCACTACGAGTTCCTCGGATAATCTCATCCTGCGCAGCTGGTTGCCTGCCACTGTGTGGAAGGCACGCGACGGAACACGATTCTACCGATTTAGCTGCGCTCGATCCGTGTGCTCCGTTAGCGACGGCGAAATGTTTAGCAGCGCCTACCTGCGAGCCGCATCCGAAACCAACTGGGCACCTGGCGCCTTGATGCAGGTCCCCGTGAGTCGCGCTGTGACAACAAAATTCTGTCCACTGTTGTCATGGCACGGAGGTAACCAGCGCCCCACAGACAGAACTCGGCGGGATGGCATGGGATCTGAAATAGTGTATCCTCGATTTAGATCAGTTGAAGAACCAGGTACACTTTTGTTTATCTCTAGGCCAGTCTTAAAGCATTTTAAGAAAAACTATTCTCTTTACTTTGTCGTCTATTCTGAAACAGGACAAACTCTCGTCACGTTGACGCACCCGTTGACTTGGTCATTCATAGTCCCGCGTGGCCGCATCGCAACCATGGCGCGTCGAAAACAGGTTAACCCTTCTCGCAGTCGAGCATCGCGCGCCGCTTGCACACCATCCGAAGTCGTTGAAGTTGAACCGTTAGATTTGGCAGTCTCCCACGTTCCTCCGACACCTCTTTCCTCACCCACGCTAGTCGTTCCGCAAATTGAAGGCAGTCAGCGCAGGCCTGACGGCGACGGTAGCGGCGGCAGCCAGTCAGCCGGTCAATCCGACGGCTGGCGCACAAGATGGGTCAAGCTAGGGGACCCTGAAGGTGCTGACGTGGCATTACTGGGACCATTCACACCGTCGTCGCATCCTCGTCGCACTCCTCTCCACGTTCTCAACCAGCAACGCAGCGGCTGCGCTGCCGCTGCTGCTAGCGGCGCCACACCTACCGCGACGCCCGGTAGTGTCATACCCGATAGCGAAATACCCGATAGTGGCGATCCGCTGGGTCGTCTAGCCGTGCTTCGTGCGTTCTTAGAGCGGCACAGAGGAGCGCGCGGGGGAGAGGGCGGCGTGGGCGAGGGGAGGGCGGGGCTGCATGCGTGCTTGAGCGTGCGGGAGAGCGCGGGCGGCGAGCCGTCGTGCTCGCGGACGTGTGGGCGCGCGCAGGTGCCGCGGGTGCGCGCGGAGGACGTGGTGCTTCACGTGGTGCGCGCAGAGGAGGGCACAGGCGAGCGCGCAGGGGGTAGGGCGGGGGAAAGGGATGGCGAGGCGGAAAAAGGGAGGGGAGGAGGGGAAGGGGTTGGGGGTGGGGAATGGGAGAAGTGCGAGGAGTGGGAGGAGGAGGGAATGGGGGGGGAAAGAGGGGAGGCGGAGGGAAGGGAGGGGGAAGGAGGGGAGAGGGCGGAGATAGTAGTGTCTGTGAGGGCGAGTGAAGTGAGGCAGCTGCAGCACCCACGTGCCTTGCACGCGCTGCTGTACCTCGCAGAGAAGCATCTCGTTACTGTCACACCCTACCTCGTTGCTGCACGCCCAGCGGAAGCAGTAACACGGCCATATGAATCACATTCGTGCCTGTGTGGGTGCGTATGGGTGGCGGTGGGCTTCCCCAGCAGCCTCGCCCCCTCTCTGCCCCTACCGGACGTGCGCGCCCCTCTGCTCTCCCCGCTGCTCAACGCTGTGCGCCGCCCCTCCCATGCGCCCCACATGCGCGCCCTCATGGACTGCCTCGCCCCCTTTGCCCCGCCCCACGCCCCCATGCCTCCGTGCGTACATGCACGCACACATGTACACATACATGCACATGCACATACACATGCACATGCACACACACATACATGTGCAATCACACATGCAAGTTCTGAGGTGTCTCAAGGTACGCATGTGGAAGAGCATGGGGGTGAGGTGGAGGATGCGTGTGGAAGCATGAGCCGGAATGCTCGCACCGCTCCGCCTTGCGCCTGTCAGCCTGGACATGATGCTCATGACGTGGCTACTGCTGACGTGGCTACTGCTGAAGTGGCTACTGCTGACGTGGCTGCTGATCTAGGTGGAAAGGTCGGAGTCAAGGAGAAGAGCGAACGGGAGAAAGGGAAGGGGAAAATTGGCGAGGGAAGCAACACAGGCGTGACAGTGGATGGTGGCAGCGGAGGTGGCAGCGATGGCTCTGGTTGTGCCTCTGCTTCTGTGGCTGCTGGTGGCAACGAGGAAGTGGCTGGTGCAGCGGAGGCGCGAGGGGGCGTGCATGGCAGGGTGCATGCGGCCAGCTGCTTTGACCTCGCTCAGCTCTATGCTGCTGTGCGTCCCAGCAGGTGGGTGGTGGCGCTTTTTCTGCCCGTGCACTTCCCCTGTTTCCACCACAAGTGCCTTTACTGGCCGTCTCACTTGTCGCGACTCGTCCACTTCGTTTTTTCCAGGAATCTGCCACCCCTCGCCACGAGTCCGGCCGGCCTGCTGCCCTCGCTGCGGCCATACCAAAGCCGGGCCGTGGCGTGGATGGTGCAGCGCGAGCGCGGCGCTCAGGGGACTTGCAGGAAGGGCGATACTGGGGGAGGTAGAGTTGATGGGGAGGGGGGAGCAGTGCAGGGGGGGCAGCATGGAGGGTGGAGCCATGCGGAGCAGCAGCAGCAGCAGCAGGGGTGGGGAGTGGCGGAGCAGCACCCGTTGTGGCGGCGGGTGACAGCAGGCAGCGCCACTGACCCCTTGTCGCAGCCGACTCACACCAGCACCGCCCCTGGCGCCACTCTCCTCTACAACCCCTTCCTGTGCGTGCGTGCGTGACAGCCAGCTCACGTGCTTGCCTGCTCGCCTCCCCGCTCCTCCTCACCCGCTTGGCCCTTGAGCCACACCCCTGGCCCGTGTGGAGCACAGTCAGCCAGGAAGATTGACAATTTCACTTCTTCTCCATCTTTTTGCCTCAAACACTGTCTCACCCCCGTACTAGCTGCCAAGCTTCGATCCCATCCCCATCCCCATCCTCATCCCCATCCCCATCCCCATCCTCATCCCCATCCCCATCCCCATCCCCATCCCCATCCCCATCCTCATCCGCATCCCCATCTACACCCCCATCCGCATTTCCATCCCCATCCCCATCCCCAATCCCATCCCCAATCCCATCCCCATCCCCATCCCCATCCCCATCCCCATCCCCATCCCCATCCCCATCCCCATCGCTCCTCTGCATGTCCCCTTGCCAGAGGCACATTCGTCCGTCTTCCCCCCTCTGCCTCATGTGCAAGGGCTGGGAGGCAGCCGCAGGGGGAAGAGGCAGGGGGGCATGGGGGGAAGAGGGAAAGCGGGGAGGCGCAGCGAAGTGGCTCCTCATTGGGTCCAGGTTCGGTGAGTACAGACTCGGCAGATTTAGCGCCGACCTGTCCAGACATGGTGAACGATGCAGGCCCAACAAGTCCAGGTTTGGCACGTGCAGGTACGGTGAGTCGAGGTACGGAGAGATCGGGTACCAGCCCAGGTAATATAAGCCCAGGCTCGGTGAGTCTTGGTTCGGTGGGCCCAAGTTCGGTGAGTCCAGGTTCGGTGAGTCCAGGTTTGGTGAGCCAAGGTCTGGCGAGTGCAGGTTGGGGGAGTGGTGTGTGCGGGTGGGTGGGTGAAGTGGCGGGGGAAGTGAGGGGCGGCATTGTGGCGGAGGAGATGGGGCTGGGGAAGACCGTTGAGGTGCTTGCTTGCATCCTCGCCCACCGCTGGAGGGACGGTGGGGGTGAGGGAGAGGGGGGGGAGGCGGAGGAAATTGTGTTGCAGGGAGAGCAGGTGACAAGAGGAAAGCGTAGGAGGGGGGAGGTAGAGGATGAGGGGGTAATGGGGAAGAGGAGGGGAGTGCTGAGAGGTGAGGAGCGGTCGGTGGAGAGGAGAGGAGATTGGGCATGTGGGGAGAAAGCGGAGGGGGTTGATAGTGAGGAGAGGAGAGGGAGCAGCAGGAGGCGCAGAGGCAGCAGTGGGGGTAGCAGCAGCGGCATCAGTTGCTGCAGTGCAGGGAGTGGGGCAGAGGCATCGGCAGCACACGGGGCGAGGAGAGGGGCAGAGGCGAGCGCGGGAGGGCAGGCAGAGCCGCAACGAGAGACAATGGAGGGGCCTTTGGAGGGCGTGACGTGGTGCAAGGGGCAGCGGACGCAGAGGGGGAGAGAAGGGATGAGGGGGAACGGGCGGACGACGGGTGGTGGGGGTTGTGGAGATATTGAGAATGAGAGAAGGGAGGAAGAGGAGGAGGAAGAGAAGAGCAGGAAGAGGAAGCGAGGGAGAGAGGGTT